TATACCTAAGTTAAAAAATCTTCCTCAACGTGATATTCAGGTGAATTGTGAAGTAGGAGGGTATATTTCTCATATGAATAGTCCATCAAGTTTCTATGTTCAGCTTGCAGAGGATGAAAACATAATAATGCAACTAGCGGAAGAATTAAAGGAAAGCATGGTAAGTACAGGTCACGAAAATTTCTCACACGAGCTCATGGTAGGGGATCTTGTTGTGGCAGAGGATGACGCTGTTAGTTTTTACTGTAGAGCAGTTATTAAAACTCTGAAATCGGGAAACTCCTTTGAGGTAGAGTTCATTGACTATGGTAATACAGCAGTTGTAAGTCCTTCAAAAATCTGCAGGATTCAGGAAAAGTTCTTAACTTTGCCGAGACTCAGTGTTCATTGTTTCCTTAGCAGAGTAAAACATGTTCCTGATGAAAGCTGGACTAATAATAGTACTTCCGATTTTATAAGCAAAATAAGTAACAAGCCAGTTGCTTGCAAGTTCTTACAGCGACATGGGGAGCAATGGGAAATAGATATAATTTGTGATGGGAGGTCTATGTCCAATAGCCTGCAGAAAAAAGACAGGACAAGGTGGCAGAACACAGCAATACATAATCGGGAAAATAGGCAAAACCAAATTCTGGTTAAAAATGGTAATGCTCAAGACAGAAAGTCTAGGAATAGTTCAGGTGGTCAAAGTGAAACTAAGGCTGTTAGGATGAAAAAGACTTCCACGGCAGCCTTAAATGTCCTTCCTCAAGATCTAAAATCTGGACAGATAGAAGGGGCAGAAGTAATAAATATTTCGGAGAATGGAGAATTTCATGTACAGTTACTTAGAAATTTGCAAATATTACGCAAGTTAAATGTAACGCTTGTGAAAGAAGCACAGAGAAGTGATTTGCTTAGTGTGGGTGACATCAAAGGAGGATTGGAATGCATCACGAAATCTGAAAGGAACTTAAAGTGGTATCGATCAAAAGTGATGAAGAAATTTATCAGGGAGAAGTTAATGCTAGTTTTTTTCATGGATTATGGCACCTGTGAGATAGTGTCTTTAAATAATGCCAAGATGCTCAGTGATGAGTTTAAAAGTATTCCTGAACAAGCTGTGTGCTGTAAATGGGTTTGGTTTGAAAAAATGAGGACAATTCAGTTTGTCCATGTAGTAAATGCACTCCTGGATCATGAAATAAAGATCTTGTTTATGAAATATTTGGAATCTTCTCATATCTGGGAAGTAGATATTTTCATAGGGGAAATTCTGCTTCTGGAGTATTTGAACGAGCTCTTAGGTCATTGTTGGACTATTGTTGGACCAGAAAAATCCAGTAATATGAACTGTAAGGAGTTTGAAACATTGGTCAACAGAAAATCAGTCCCATGGATGCTGCTGCAGAGAGGCAGAAGGTATCCTGGATTTGCAACTGCAGTTACTGATCCTTACAATTTCTGCATCCAGTTTGAAGTCTTATTTGACTGCATGAAAAACTTGTCTTTGCTGCTCTCTGACCTTCCTGACAATTTGCCAGCTTTGCCAGAAAGACTTGTGGCTCCTGGTGCTACCTGCTTGATCAAACTAGGACTGGAAGCACAGTGGAACAGAGCAGAAATAAGTGAAGTGACAAGTCAGTCTGTTGTTCTTACGTTTATTGATTATGGCTTTCTGAAGAGCATCCCTTACTCCAGTATCCATAAACTTAAAGTTATTCCAGAAAGTGTCTCTTATATACCACGCTTGGCGCAGTCTTGCTCTTTACACAATACAGCTCCTGCCAAAGGAGAATACTGGAGTGGTGAAGCTAAACTTCTGTTTCGGAAGCTTCTTAGTAAACCAGGTCTGATAGTTTATTTTAAACACTATGGCTCTAAAATGAAATTAGAGGTGGATGTTACGTATGAGGAGAACAATCTCGCTCATGCCTTAATTGCTGCTGGTCATGCAGTCTGGTCTGAAAGAAAGTGCTGCCTCATACCAGTTGGCAGAATTAAATCAGGAAAGACCGATTAACAGCCCAAGTGTCAAAATTCTGGTTATCGTGCTTCCCTTTGTGAGCCAGCTAATGTTTATGATGAAAACTCTTTATTTTCCTCATTGAAATAAAGCAAAGAATAGAAACAAAAAACATATCTGAAGCATAGGACTTTCTGTGATAGAATTTCAGATAAGGAATTCTGATAAAGTGGGTGCTGGAATATCATTAAATAAAGGATCTGAATTCATATAACACTGAAAGAAAAGAAAAACTGCAGAAGATGAACAATACTGTGAAGTAGTTGTTTTTTCAGCATTATGATAAGAAAAGTAAAATTGACTTAATACAGATAAATTGGCGTCCAGAAGCACTGGTTGAGACTTGTGATTCTGATGATCTACAGTCTAGAAAGACAGTGTGAAGATCCCATTAGAAGAATTATTTGAATAATAGACAGACTCCAGTTAGGAAAGTACTTCTTTACAACATGAAAAAAAGTGGTGCAGATACTGCTATGAGTGTATTTTTTTTTTCTCCAGATCTCTTGTTATATTTTTTTTTTTTAGACAGTCATGTTTTGGGAAAACTTTTCTGTCAGAATGCTTTTACAATTTGTGTGTGTGTATCTATATATATAAAACTTTATTTGCACTAATATGGTTTACAGTAGCGTTGTCTCCTTGTTGTGAATGCTGAGAAAACAAACATGCCAGGCATGTTCTCTTTGTTTCTAATTCCGAAGTTCCTGTGTGAGTATCTTTTCTTTTGTTAGGAGAAAGTTTACTAACACTAAGCAATAAAACTCAGATCCTCGTTTATGGGAGAGGCACCCATGAAATTGTTTTCAGTTAGCTCTGGGTGTGAAGATGCAGTGGACCTGTCTCAGGGCTCTCTTTAGCCTGAGTTGCATCACAGTGGGGTGGTTCTCTCTGCTGCGCGTGCTTGTTGGGCTGATGCTCCCCTCCATCCTCCCCATCCATCTGTCCAATTGGAGAGAAGAGGTTTCCTCTGTGGACTTTGTATCTCGAAGGGCAACATTCAGAGCCTTTCCCTTTTTCCTTTGTAGGAGGAGGAAATTTCAGGAGAACTGAAAAGGGATGATATGGTGTGTACCTCTTGGAGCTTCTTTTTTTTTTTCCCAGTAACCCTTCTGAAATGAGAATATCTCAGGTGTTTCTCTGACGTATTTATTTATCACCACTCCTCCAGTTGTTTGAACAGAGATAAAATCTGAAGAGTCCTGAAGTCTGAGGGTTGGGTTTTTTTTTGTATGCCCCTCTGATCATTTGAATTTAAACTAAAAAAATGAATACATCCCTAATGATAGACAATACATCTAATGCATCTCTACATGCAAATAAGATGCAAGAACACTTTTCCTGCCCCCGGCCATATTTCAGGATGTATTTGATTCCTGTGAAAATGTAAGAGCTTTATCTGGAAAACAGAACTTGTTTTTTTTCTTAAAGTAGAGACAGGTCCAGCAAATGAGACTGAAAAAGAGGTAAGACAATATCAACTAATCTTTGCAAAGTTAACTCTGCTGGTGAATTCTTTAAAATGTGTGCAAATGTTTTCAGTATAAAAGTGAAAGATGTCCATTAGTAACAAATCAGGAAATGCATAAAATAAGACTTAAGTAAATGCTAGCTAAAGTATCAGAGGTGTTATGTTAATGTATTGATTAAATAGAGAGGGAGGTTTGTATCAGTTTGTGGTTGTTAACTGTTTTCTTTATGTGGCACTGTTTTGTTATTGCAGAATTTGAAGTTTTTCATAGTTGTAATATGTATTATATATATTAACTGGCATGTTCTTTGTCAATAGCTTGACATGCTGCTTGCTCTTACACAGAAATGTAGATGTTGTATTGTGTAATATTACTCATGTTGAGACATAACTTGAAATTTACTTCACTGGGCTATGTTCATTGTAGTGCCAAGTAATTTTTTGTGCCTCTGCATGAAATTTTGGGGGTAAATTAACTCTGATTCTAATTTATGGCTACCATTCAGTTGGAACAGCAGGTGCTTGGGTGTCTTTTTGAAAATGTCAGTCCTGCTGGTGTAGTATTAATAAACAATTTGCAGATTTTAAGTTAGATTTTTTTGCTAAGATAAAGGGTATTGTGCTTTAACTTTGTGTGGTTGTCGAAGACAGCTTACCTGATGCTACAGAATGAAGCCTAGAAATGGTGGATGATTCAGAAACAAACAGCTGTGTGCGTACTATTTTCATGTTCTGCAAATTGCAAATGTCAGATGTATTTGCAAGAATGTGTGTTTTACTTTCAACTTGTAATGAGTCTAGCTTGTAATTGTAGCTCTTTGTCTGAAGGTCTGATACCCAAAATGCTTAGGATAAAAACTAGATAATTGAAAATAGTTTCAGGATTATGCTGCACCTGTAAATATAGAGAATATCTTTTGTTGCCATTGTTGAGACGGATTTTCAGAGGTGCATTATAAGGTTATGTTACGTTTGTTAGATGAAGCTGCTGAGATGTCTGGCTATGGATCTTATTCTCAATCTTCTTTCTTTAGTGTGTATCTTTTTTTTAAACAGAAGAGTAATCTAGTTGAAAAAATTATAATTTATTTAGGATTTGGAAGTTTAGATATGTTTTTGTATTTGTTTTGGGGCAAGCTTAATTCTGAGCAAAACCACTACTTTGGTAAAATTTAATTGGAAACTACTGTTTATACTTTGATTGTATTTTCTATATAACTTCTGTATTTGTTTATACTATGTCATTGATGACTTTGATTTTTTTTTTTAATTTTATTTTTTGATCCATGAAAGTGATAGAGAACTGGTTGCATTTGCTTGGAATTAAAAATGTTCCTGTGTATACTGACGTATTCAGTATTCTACCTTTTTGTTGTGAATAATAAAATGCTTATCTTCTATCTGTATCTTGCCTTGCCTAAGTCATTCTGAATATTTTGAAGCTTTCTGTGACCTTTTTGGTTGGTGAATGTGTTGGGGAAAAAACTGAAGGTACATCAGTACGTTCTTTGTGGGATGATGCCAAAGAACATCCCTTGCCCAATCAGCCAGCAGCTGTGGAGAGGATGATATCTGCTTGCACTAAATCAAGGTTTGAATGCTGTACAAACAGCAGAGGTGTTGTGTCTGCTCACTTGTACAGCTTTCTGGATGAGATGTGTGCCACGCTTAGCCTTCATCTGCTTGTGCTGGTCAGATGTACTCTCATTGGGACACTATAAAGGCAGCCACGCCTTATATGCCAGGTAGACTCACTGTTACAATACCATTACTTAAAACTTTTTTAGATTTGTATGCAGTTACTTTGAGAAATATTTTCTGTTCTTTACTTTTAAAGACGTGCATTGTGAATGTTTAAATGGTGTTAAAAAGATTTAGATTTTTTTTAGTGTTCTGGCATTTTATAATGTTCCATAAAGCTTGCCTGATACTGAAGCAAGGAGGAGGATGCGTTTGTGTAATTTCTTTTCTATTTTGTTTTCCCATGGGAGCTTTAAGATAGTTAGCTGTACAATAAGATGCCCGAGTTTAGTAACTGAATGTGAAGCATTACTCCCTAGAGGAAGAATACTTCTTGCTGGTTTTGCTGGTCCTTTCTGGCTGATTTAGAAGTAACCCTATACTGTCTCCAGAAGGAAATGTTTTTATACCCCAGCCAGCAGAAGCAGTGGCCAGAGAGAAGATGTGAGATCGTTAAGGATTTATGTAGGAAAAGAGGCTGAGAATGAAAAGGTTTCACTTTGGATGAGTGGTTCAGGACTTTTGAAATGGCTGACTAGTTACTGAATGCTTGTATGGACCAGGAAGCATAGAAGTCCAGGCATTCAGGCAGAACTTTAGGTTTCAGTGCTGACCTAGTGTGTGAAGACTTTTAAAGTTTGTAATAAAAAGAAAATTAAAAATTAGTGTAGAACATGAAAAACAGCTTTTAGAAAGTAACAAATTATCATCTTTCCTGTAAGAGCAAACTTAAGGATGCAACAGAGCCTCTGACGATGCTTTTAATGACCCTTAATGTCCGCAGAGAATTGTGTATGTATGCTTGAGCGTGCTTTGTTTGCTGCAGGCCCAAGTCTGGAGGCAAGCTTCACCACTGTCCTTAGGCAATGGCACTTCTACAGTGGGAATGGTACTTGAACAAGGTATAATAACTTACTTCTTTTCACCCCTCCTCACCTTGAACCTGCCTTTTTGCTGCCCCTGTGCCTTCTTGTCTTTGCCCACACTCCTCCCAAATAAGCAACCCATCCTAAATGACTTTTTCTTCATTGGTCCTACATCCCTACCTAGATTTGGTATTTCTGCTACCTAAACAGTCTGGACCCTGTGTGGTATTACTGTACCTAGATGTCAGCAGCCTTATACCCCAAGACTGCCTTCTGATTATTTGCTTCATGTGGCTTACATTTAATTTACTTCACATGCTTCCTAAAGAAAATTATCTGACTTGGTCTTTACTCTTCTGCCTAACTCTAATTAAGCACAGGCAGCTTCTTACATGCAGTTTCCAATACCAGAACAACAAAATAATCAGGTTTGTGCACACATGGTATCTTCACCCCTTGAATAGTTTTCACTGCTCTCCTAGTTCCCATCAAAGGCCTTAGCTAGTTAAGAGGCTTAGTGCTATGGCAGGATCTTTTACTCATACCTGGTAGTCCGGGTGACATTCTCAGCACAAATGTAATGGGGACAAATGGATGTAGATTGAATTGAGATGTTTAGACCAGAAAGCAAAACCTTTTCAGAATGAGGGTGGTCAGGCATTGCAGAACATTGCCCAGAGAGGTGCTGCAGTCTCCATCCTTGGTAATTTTCAACACCCAACTGGATAAAGTTCTGACAAACCTGATCTGACTGCATAGCTGATCCTGCTCTGAGCAGGAGGTTGGCTGATGTCTAGATGTCCCATTTTACTTGAATTATCCTGTTAATGCTGCAGCTACTTTTCATAGCTTAGTAGCTTCCAAAGCCTCACTTCTGGAATGAAGCACACAAAAGTTCCTAAATCTTATTTTAGCACATA